GAGTAAACTAAAAACACACTCTACCTCCTTGAAATATTGGTTCAAAAGAAAGAAATGGTGTCCACGCCTGTTAAAATGGCTGAGAAAGCCACTAGGGGGACATTTTGAGCTTCTGATTGGTTATTCATGTCATATATAGAAATAAGTGTATATAAGGAAAGCTTTTCAAAAAATGGAAAAAGGTGGGCAGGGTGCCACTGTGTTTGATTTATTACATGAGCAATATCTTAGCAAATAGTAAAGATATGACCTTCTTATTTTATATTCTAGCTTGTCAATATCTGTAATTTGAGTTCCTAATTCGTATGAAACTATAGACTTCACAAACATCTAATTTGAACTAGTGCTGCATTCAACATACCACGTGACACACAAAAAATCGATGTTTATCTGTGCTTTTAATATTTACTTTTAAACTAAGAAATTGAGTAATATATAGTGCTAAAACTTGAATTATAATCTACAGTTTGACACATGACACTTGTGGATATGATCAACTTGTATTCTCAGGGGTTGTTTAATTGGTATGTTGTGTACTAGCTTACATTCAGGTGAGCAAACAACTACAGATAAAATACGTTTAATCATCTACTACTTAAAACCCTCAACAGTAGCCTGACTTCATTTAAGTAGGTAATAACACCAGTTGGTAAGTTACATCTTGATTCAATGTTGTTGTTAGCAGTGACAGAAGAAATGTGTTTACACAGTTACTGAACAAAGTTGCATATGAATTTGTATTTGCCTAAAATATTTATTACATGATTTCAGGCCCGGCATGGCCAGGTGGTTAGGGAGCTCCACTCACAATCTGGGGGTCGCGTGTTTGAATCCCCGACCCACCAAACATGCTCGCCTTTTCAGCCGTGGGGGACGTTATAACATGTGACGGTCAATCCCACTATTCATTGGTAAAAGAGTAGCCCAAGAGTTGGCGGTGGGGGTTGATGACTAGCTGCTTTCCCTTTAGTCTTACACTACTAAATTAGGGACGGCTAGCGCAGATAGCCCTCGTGTAGCTTTGCACGAAATTCAAAACAAACAAACTTGATTTCATCAAAACAAATAATATCAAGTTAATATGTTTGAATTTTCTAGTATGTATGTTATATTAAGGGCTTTCCCTCTATAGGAGTTTTTAACTATGTGGTTATATCTAGCTTTTAGTATGTTGAGAAGATGTTTGTCGATTGTATGATTTTATTTTGTTGTTGTTGTTGCTCTGGCCGGAATCTTGCTTTTATTTTGTGAATCTTAATTGCAGGCGTCCTATATCATCGTTTTGAATATCTGCCATCCTTCTGTGTGTAACCTCCTTACAAGTTGCGTGTTTCACCCACCAGAGAGCACCACAGTTCTTCTAAAGTCACTGTCAAGAAATATTTTTTATAAGATACTTTTTTCGTGTACCTTTATGCCAAAATTATTTTCATGTTAAATTTGATATTTTTATCTTATTAATTTAAATAGTACTAAAACGAATTTGGAAAAAAAAAATTCTAACTATTTAAATTATTTAACTTATCAAGGTCCATAATCGTGAGAGTTAAATCTTCATTGTAGTCGTTCAGTTCTTTAAATGTTTTATCAGGTACCAATATTGCTGTTTTGAAATGGTGTTAGGTTGTTGTTTTTTAATGTATATATTGACGTGAGTCACATCATTTATAAATGAGGTAAGGAAGGTAGAGCAATCAATTAATCAATCTAGAAGCCATAAGGAAAATAACTTGAAATTTTTATAACCTGGATTTTATTTTTAAAAAAAAATCACTAAAGACATATGTTCGAGATTAACATTTAAATCAAAATAGTATAGAGTTCTAAAAGAATAAAACATTACGAAATGCTTACTTAAATTTTATCACTTCGATTTTAAACCGTGTTGTGCCTTAACTGTAGTAAGTATTATAACAGCACATAATATTATATATGTATTTAAAAAATAGTATTTTTATACTAAGTAGAATAACAAAGAGGTAGAAACTTGTTGTTTTTTGTAAAGCTTTATAAATGTAGAAAGCTCACAGTCGTTGATCATTTTCGTGTACTGTTTCACTTTATCATAAACAAACCATGGTGACAATACTTTTAAATTTACCAATTTTCTGTAGTAGTTTTTTTTTCTTCAGTGCACATTTGAGTTCCTTACAAAAGAAGATAGTCTGATATATAAATGATTTAGTTTTTTTGCTGTTCTTTTTTTTATAAATAGACTGGGTAAGATAACCATGCTTTTAGTATTAGAGGTTGGATGCATAGGTTAGGTTTAGTTTTATAGGCTCTATTATAACAGCAATAAATCTTACTGTTTTTTTTTTTTTAATCTTCCTTGCTCTTAAAAAGATTTTATACATGTTAACTGCTGGGACGTATTTTAATACAGTGTCGAGATTATATCATATATGTACTTAACTGAGATGTTATGAATACGGAAACACTGTTAACAGTTAAAAACACTAGATGTAACTTACTCATGAAACTTCAAGTTTTTTCATGCCCAGAGTTGAGGATAATTCTCGAATGTTTCTTAAAAAAGTTGTTTTTGTAATCATGTGATTGAGAATTTCAAGACGTGGTCTGTTGCAGGAAAATGGTGTGGAAAAGAAAAGTATTTATCTATACAGAGGTTTGGGGTAGATGAGACATACTTATAAGTTCACACAGTTTGTGAAAATACAATGTAATAATTTAGAAGTAAACCCAAATCGTTCGGAAGATTAACTCCCTCTCTCTTTTAATAAATGAATTATTTTAAATACTATACAAAACTAATTTTTTTTTTTTACATATGCTCGTATTTTGTACAGAACTTCCTAGCATAACCTTTTGTAAAAAAAAAATATATATTTTCCATAAAACGAATTTTGTATTCGGGAAACAGTACATAATTAAGTATTTTTGTTACAGCAACTTCTGACAGTAGCACAGTGTAATAAAAATTACAAGATTTTACATATTATTTTTTGTAACAAGATAACTGTATTTTTGTAAACGAGTCTTTAGTATTTTAAAGCAAGAGTCTCTTCCAAACCGTTCCTAAGTTGTAGGAAAAAAATATATATATGTTTGCGTTATGATTTAGAACTGCTGCTCACATCGGATCGCTTTTCACCTATTTGTGGCCTTGAAAATAGACTCCTAACATTACCAAGTGTCTTGAAATTAAAAACGTGTGTAACTTTGTGTTATATATTTCTTAATTCACTTGATTTAATTTCTAATATTTTCACAAAACTTTCTTGTTTTGTATTTAAACTGAGGTCACCTGTTGGCAATAATGTGAAACAGGATGATAATTCCACAGTTATATTTCAAGCTCTCTCTCTCTCTCCGAAGGTTAAAATAGCATGCACAATTTCAGTGTGTATGAGTGATTGAAGTTTGGTGTGATTTTTGTTAAAGTTAAAATGTTTCCCTTCAAGTCTTCCAAGTCGGTGTGATAAATAAAGATTTTAACTGTCACGTATACGTGTGTAAACAGTTTAATTTATTAGCACAGTAGGGCTAACTGGTTCAACATCCACTTATTCTCCATTCACGAGACAAAAAAAAAAAATGAGTTTATTAAGTATGCCAAAACATCAGTTGCCTCCTGGTGGACTAAATCTAACATTAGGTTCAGAACGTGTTATTTTATATGAAACTAGAATCATTACTTGTTTATTTTGTACCTAAAGTACTGTGGAGCATTGAGTTAACTTTGCTGTTAATACTCCACTCGAATATTACAATGGTTTAATTATTTTAAACGATCATTTTTTTTCCTTTTATTACCAAAAATTATTTTACTTAAATATATTCGCAATGAAACAATATTGTAAGAAGTCGTCACAAAGTTAATGAATATTACACAGACAGTTGTAACAGAAATACACCCTAAAAAACGTGATATGACATAGTCGTGAGAAACGCCAAGGTGTATCCTTGAACGGTGTGTCAACAGCATCACAGTCACGAGGAACACCAAGGTGTATCCTTGAACGGTGTGTCAATAGCATCATAGTCACGAGGAACACCAAGGTGTATCCTTGAACGTTGTGTCAACAGCATCACAGTCACGAGGAACACCAAGGTGTATCCTTGAACGGTGTGTCAACAGCATCACAGTCACGAAGAACACCAAGGTGTATCCTTGAACGGTGTGTCAACAGCATCACAGTCACGAAGAACACCAAGGTGTGTCCTTGAACGAGTTGCCAACAGAATCACAGTCACGAGGAACACCAAGAATTTAGGTTTAGCCTCAGTCACTGTACTGGTGACATGAGACATCCCACGAAGGTGTAGCCTCAAACAGCTTGTTGATGACATCATATCGACTAATGTGAGGAATGTCACTGAACTTGAACAAATGTTGAGGTTATCACATGGGCGACTGGTGCTGTACTGTATGTAAATGTATACTTCATTAGTTAAAGATGAGTTTTAGTAAACTTGTAATATTTTTAATAATGACCTCAAGTTCAGCTCAAAATAAGTATCGCAGAATTTCTCTTCACCGACATTTTGTAACTGTTATTTAAGCACCAATTATAACTTCTTCCCCTGTTACAAAGTACTTTGCAAACACGTATTAAATTCTACATTTTAATTTCGACAAACTCAGTAAAGAAATCGTTGAGATATTGGCAACCCGAAAATGTTGTACAAAATAACTGAAAATGTGTACAAAGAAGGTCAAGTTTTATAGTAACTCATTTCGGATGCGGTATTGCCAGGCGGTTAGGGAGCTCGACTCGGGTTCGAATCCCACCAAACATGCTCGCCCTTTCAGTCGTGGGGGCGTTATAATGTGACGGTCAATCCCACTATTCGTTGGTAAAAGAGTTTGCGGTGGGTGGTGATGACTAGCTGCTAAATTAGGGACGGCTAGCGCAGATGGCCCTCGTGTAGCTTTGCGCGAAATCCATAACAAACTATATCCCCCACCCACATTGGTTTTGCGACTAGTAGGCTTGTCTCTTTCTTTCCTTAAGTCTTCTAGAAACTGTTAGTTGTGGTACAAACACAGAATTAATTCCGAACAGGTAGTCATCAAGTGCTCGACCAATTTACTACTGTGGCCAACTCTACGGTGAGATCTGTTTGGTTAAATGTACTTTAAAACCTGATTTTCAATTGTTTTGTTTTTTTCAGAGATTATTTTTAGTATGACTTGATTAATTTCCCACGAAGCTATTCGAGGATTATTTGCGCTAGTGGTCCCTAATTTAGAAGTGATGGATTAGAGGGAATCTACATAATGTTGGATTATAACGCCCCAACGGCTGAAAGGGCAAGCATGTTCGGTGACGGAATTTGAACCACGCCTCGCCAACTGCGAATAGAGCGCCTTAACCACCAGGCCATGCCAGATCCCAATTATATCTTGTCATATATGAATATATATAAAATAGAGAGAGAGAAATAGGGTTATTCATTTGTATGTAACAGCACTTGGACCGAAGGATCGATAATAATAAGACAAACACATTGTATCTGCTATATCCAGTGTGCCGATGAGGTCTTTCGCTTAATACCATGGCTCATCAGTCTGGACAAAACGTTAAATAAGATTTATAGGAGAGAAAAAAAAATCATACTCATACCAATTTGTACAAGTATCAATGTCGTCTCTTGAGTTAGGTTTACTCCGATATAGTGATATAAATTTCTAGCTGTTAGCATATGCCCTCTTTACTTGAGTAAAAGGGTTACTACATATTTATCACCTTTCGACATTCGGTTAACAGGAATTTCATATTACATGGAGAACACCTGCACAAAAATTCAGGAAATTTACCTGCATACAACCCGCTAAAAATATATTTAAACTAATTGTGGAAGGGTGAAATTCATAGTGCTGTTCCAGTTATGATGCGACCCCCCCCCCCCCACCACACACACTTACATACAAATGTTTATTTTTTATAGCCATATATTTATTCCTTTTTTTTTATACACGGCTGGTTGAACTTTCATACATTCAATTAATTTCAGATATAATTAACTGTTATCTAATCAATGCTATAATCATTAGGAAAGCAAAAAACAAAATTTAACATTGGAATTAGCTTTCATTTTGGGAAAAAAAAGAGAAAAGTACGTAAAACATTTATCTTTTTACACTAAAGAATGCCAGGAAATTTATGGTACATTACTTAAAATATTTAAAAGTAAAAATACTAGTTTACCTTGGCAAGATCTTTTTGATTTTAAATAATTTGTGTAGCTCTTTGGAGGAAACACGAGAAATCATTACATGTGTCAGTTTTGATCAAAACTGAAATCTGCATAATAATCCGCCCCCCACAGCGGCATGTCTGCGGACTTACAACGCTAGAAACCGGGTTTCGATACCCGTGGTGGGCAGAGCACAGATAGCCCATTGTGTAGCTTTGTGCATAAATTCAAACAAACAGAATAATCTCTAAATATTTATATATAACTTTAATTTCTTAAATAGAATAGTGATTTAAGAACTATTTTTGAACTAAGGAGAAATGTCAAACTGGTATTTTCTATCTTTAGTTTTAGACGTAACTTTTTGTCGTGATCCTCCTGCGAATCATGATATATATATTATAGTTGTTTTAGAGCTATTAACAGGAAATGTTATTATTTATTCCCAAAACAAAATCGTTAATTATCAACAGATTGTTTATATACGTGCAACAAAATGAAACACTATTTCGCACTTGACCCCAGAACGGTATGAAACATCTGGCAATCCGCCAACACAAATGCACGTGTCTGGCCCTCGGTGTTATTACAGCATTTTACGCTCAATTGTTGTTTGAATTATCCGCAATTTAAAATAGATTAAGTTTATGGATTTTCATAAAGTGAATATACTTTACACAAAAACATTTTATGAGTAAGATATATTGCTTTTGGTTTTTCTTTACAATTGAAGTATATAATTTATGTTCGCACTTGTCAGTAATTTAAATTATAGATATGGTATATCCTTCCGCTCACACTCGTGGAATATGACATCACAACACCTTGTTCGCACGTGATTCATCTGCACATGGTTCGGTACACGTTTCTCTCTGTGAATGGTTCGTGTCATCTACTGTTGAGTACTTTTATTAAAAATATAATGTACTTCGAATTGAATCTCAGCTTTATTCGTGACTTTTGTTTTCATTAATAAATAAAAAATTAAATTAGTATAAATGCACAAATGAAACGGGTTTTCTGAGAGCCGTTTGCCTTTCCTCTTGCGTGAGAATTAGGAGGGAGTGAAAACCCATTAATCTAAAAGCCGATATATATTGGGCAAAAAAAAAGCACCGCCTACTGCTAATTCACTTTCGCGTTGTCATTGGGTGTCTAACGACGATTCGTATGACGTTTACAGTAAGACCTCACACGTAACTTGTGTCACATGCTTAGGTTTAGTCATGCTCTGAATCCCTGTTTTTCTCTAAACTGAATTGCTTGATTAAATCTTCTGATTTACTGTTTTATCTCCCAGAGTTGTCTCTTTAAGTACATTAACTAAGATTTGGTTTAACTGTAATTATATGTGGCATTAAAGTAGTGGAAAACGGTCGACTAGTTACCTCAATTCAAATACTTACTACGTCAATCAAATCTACCACGTGGTGCGACGTGACTTTCGCTATACTGATTGTTTTGATAGCCTCCCGCCATTTTGAGATGGTCTATTGTGTGAGTGGTCAGGAATATGTCGCGGTTAGCTCTGTTTTATGAACATTTTTCGCTATAATTGTTGTTTTGGTGGATAGACAGAAGAGTTTGAAATATGAGCCTCGAAACTTTATTAGAAGCAGCAAAATATTTAGAGTACAAAACTCAAGCAAAGGCACGTGGTAAGTACAGTTTTTTTCATTGATCTTGAGGGGAGGCGACAGAAGCGAAGCTGTTGGAAGGAATATCGCGCTCTCACGCGGCGTGATATATAACATGATCTTCTGTGTTATGTTTTCTTAAGATTATAAATTGCAACATATACCGTAGTTTACAATATCTTATATGGCAAGCTTTCCGATAAAATGAGCCGTTATTTTATTTACACTTTACAGGTGTTATAATATTGGTTAAGAATATTTATAACTAATAAAATACTTTTGCTTCAATAAATTATAAATATAATCAACTCTTTTCACTACTCCTTCTTAACTTATTGTATAAATCACATGAGTTATAAAGAAGGTCGTGATGTGAAAAGTTTAATCACTTCTACGTCGTGTTAAAAGTGATTATTTTTTATAATCTCAGGAGAAGAACCACGTGATTATCAAACGTTCGCTAACTTCTCTACCGTTGGTGCCAGTGCACACCCTTCGTGCCCGCCTGCTAACCAAACGATTAAAATCTTGCCAGAATCTCCAGAAGACTGCTCGTCATCTCCAACCAGTCAGGATCAAGTGGATGAACAAAAAGAAAAACGTAGAACTGGAGGGTTAGTGAAACGTTGGAAATATTTAGTTTTTGACAAGACAAGAATATAGATTAGTTTATCATATTTCATAAAGTCGTGATGATTTACACAAAATTATGACGCCGGTATTACGGTCTCAGTGGCAGGGTTGCCAATATTACATTTTTTTTTTTATTGATAGTAAATTTCAGTCAGTAGATTTCTGTGTAGTTTAAAGCAGAGTGTGAGATATTTCAAACCGATTCAGATATTACAAATGTAAGAATTGTTAAGATATTACAACAAAACACACGGGCGATAATGTACTTAAGAGTTATAGAAGTCCGACTGACCCGCTGATTGCGAGGTGTGGTTACATTCATTGACCCCAGGACGTAATAAGCAAGAACGCTAACAAAAAAACTGGACGAACGTCTGCATGTCAACTGTTGAGTCAACCAGCAGGCCGTATGTAGCTCGGACGTCGCGGCTCCCGTTTCTGTCTTAACGTCCATTACGCCAACTCTTACGATACAAAGGCTATTTTCAATATATCGCACAATTATTTCAGACCTCTAAGTTGTTTTATTGTACATTTTAAAAGGGTCAAATGTGAAGGAATTCAGTTTTCAAAATTAAGAGTGTTTCATAACACTGTTCGAAGAGGCAAAAAATGTATATTTCATGTAATTATTGCTATACGGTTTGACAATGCGTATAGTAAGAGCCGGAAAATTATATGGCTCTCCCAAGTTGTGCGTAAAAATATTGTTATAGAACACACACACATCAGGAATACGTAGCGGAACATGTGTTCATACCACACAGAAAAATAATTTTTTTATTACAAAATTTGCACCATTTTGTAATTGACTTTTCGGTATATATTGTATCGTTTGTCACAGCTTTAATTTCTAATGACTTAACTATATATATGTAGAAATGCAGGTGTGAAGAACAGTATATAGGGAGGTGGAGTGTGAGAGGCACGTGACACCGGTTATTCATGAAAAGTTAGGCGACTGTATATTCAAAAAAACTACTTTCAACTTGACTTTTGAAGAAAATTTGAAAAAACAAAATAAAAAAGCACGTTAAGTGAGTTGTAAAAACTCGTAATTTAAATTCAGACATTTGTTGTGGTTTGTAGTTTTACCTTAACACTCTGGTGAAACTTATCCGGTCCCCAGTGGCCTAGCGGTAAGTCTCGGATAACCCATGTGCTTAAGAACAAAGAAACAAACTAGCTTAGAAGGTTATATTCTTTGTCTCTCTCTGTGTGTTCGGGGATTCATGGTTCGCTGCCCATTGCTACAAAAACGCGTTACGCCCTTTGTGGTTGTGTGTATGCTTCAAGGGTGACGGTTAAATCCCACTACTCTGTTGTACACAAGGTGAGCATAGCCCTACTGTGCGATAAATGAAACGGAACAACGTCACTACCGGTCGAGGGGCCTTTTTTGTTACCTGTTATCTCTGGTACCAGCCTTTTTCTCCAAACATCTTGTTCATATTAATCAGTGTTAACAACTGGTACCGATTTGTAGCTGATTTACGCCGGGCTTGAAAGGTATTCGACAGCATTCTGTCGCGAAATTTGATGAAGCTATTTTCATATAAAAAATAACTCAATTTTCGTATTCATAACCAATTTCGGGAGTTTATCAATAAAAGCGTTATTCCGTGCACGCGAACCGCTTCTGTTGATCGCTTCTTTATATTCTCGTTTATATATGTGTAGTTTGTGTTGTTTTTTTAATTTCGTACAAAGCTACACGAGGGCTATCTGCGCTATCCGTCCCTAATTTAGCAGTGTAAGACTAGAGGGAAGGCAGCTAGTCATCACTACCCACCGCCAACTCTTGGGCTACTCTTTTACCAATGAATAGTGGGATTCACCGTCACATTATAACGCTCCCACGGCTGAAAGGACGAGCATGTTTGATGGGACGGGGATTCGAACCCGCGACCCTCAGATTGCGAGTCGAGCGCCCTAACCACCTGGCCTGCGTAGTTTGTAAAAGAGGGTGTCTCCATGTGCGACTTAATGTTCAAAACTCTCAGGGAACGTTATATATTTTAAGAGGCCTCAGGGTCTAATTTGGGATTACGACCGACAATGTCGTTAACATGAAAAACACATTCTAATCTTTATAAGAAAGATCGTAAAAAGAAAATATTTAATTAGCTACATTTGTTATCAGGTTGTTGTTGTTTTTTTTTCTATTTTCGCTCTAAGTAGATAGCTTTCTCTGATTTAAAGTTAATATTAATTATGGGTTTCTTTTCAGTATTAACGAATACATTAATAATATTTCCACTGATTAACTCAGGGCACTAAAATTGATAAACCTAATTAGGAATTTAATGATTGATAAACCTAATTAGGAATTTAATGATTGATAAACCTAATTAGGAATTTAATGTACATTTGAATTAAAATTGAAAGTTTTTTGTTTTTTTATTTCTGTTCTGTATCTATACGATACATTTTTGTAATCCGAGTAATGTAGTCGCTATATAAGTTATGTTGCTCCACGATCGCTTAATTAACACCTTAATCAACGCATTGTACCTTAAACTTCGTTAAACCGGAAATGCTAGATTTCGCTTTGTTTGTTTGTAGTTAAGGGCAAAGCTATATAATGGGCTATATTTGATGTGCCCACCGCGAGTATCAAAGCTCGACTTTTAGCATTATAAGACATCGGACATGTCGCAATGATTTGTGGTTGGATTTCACGGGGAAAAAAAATGATATTTTTGTAAAATATTCGCACTACGTTAAATGGAGCATGAGAATGTTTTTTGGAATTTTTTAAAAATTTTCGCCGCACTACGTTAAATGGAGCATGAGAATGTTTTTTGGAATTTTTT